CTTGCTTTCTTAATTTTCTAATCACCCTAACTGAAAAGCAGCTCCTTAGTATCTTTCTGCTTCTGACAGTATTCTGAAATATTGTAATAAACAGTTCTGGAATTTGTTAACTAAATATGTACCTGGGATAAATGCTTAGTCATAGAGGGCTGCAGAAGTAGAATGTGAATTCCTCTTGAAAGGCATAAATCCTGCTTTTTGGCCATGCCTTATTGTTGTTCTGTTAAGAATAGGACAGAGTTGTTTTATTTACCTAAATCTCAATACCAAGGTGCTTCAGACAAGAGTTGTGATTTTCTTATTATTTAGCTTGCCACCTAATTGACAGCTGTCATCTGAAAAAGTATTCCCCAGCCTCAGCTTTTTGACTATAAATACTCATCACACATCTTCTGTCAATGGTGTGATATTTGGTAGTTAGTTTTGTTTAGTTCTTTTTTTTTTTTTTTGGAGGGAAGAGGACAGGACACGCCGCCTTAGTCTCAAGTGTAAGACTGACTTTGAAATATGCAGCCTCTGGCCATCACTCCTGGCTACATCGGTTTGAATTTGAAATGTGGTAGGACTCACTGTGTACTTGAGTCAGTTGCAGGGGCCTGGGCAGATTTTAAAGTCTCTGTCTCCCATAAGCATTCCTTAGAGTGGACCCGGGGAGCTTCTGCCTGCTTTTGCTGAGCATTCTTGCTCAAGCATTGCATCCCAACAGCTTGCTATAAGAATAATGTTTTCCAATAGGAGGTTATCAGAAGCCCATCATGAAGGAATCGTATAATTTGCTTCCTGAGATCTATAAACATAACTTTTTCTTTTTTTTTCTAAGTTTAACTTTCTATGCTTTATTTTTAGTTTGCATTTCTTTTGATAGTTCAGTGGGCACATATAATGAATGTATTTAATATATTGTTTGCTCGTACAAAATATTTATGAATTCTTCTGTTTATGTGTGAATGTTCTATGTACTTTGGATGAAGTGTTACATATTGATAACCGTCTGTCAGTGAGAGGAAGAAATAGACACAGAAAAACAAAAAAGACCAAAGAGTAATTGTTGAAGGTAGAATTGAGTCATAGGGGAGCTCTATATGTAATCTTTTGAGGAACCTCCATACTGCTTTCCAGAGTGTCTGAACAAGTTTACACTCCCACCAACAATGCAGTAGGGTTCCCTTTTGGCCACATCCCCTTCAGCATCTGTCATTAGTAGATTTTTTAATTATTTTTTTCATTTATAGCCATTCTAAATGGGGTGAGGTGTTGTTTCAATTTGCATTTCTTTTATGGCCAGAGAAGTTGAACATTTCTTCATATGTCTCCTGGCCATTCTTATTTCCTCTTCAGAGAAGTATCTCTTTAAGTTTTTAGCTTGCTTATTAATGAGGCAGTTGTTTCTTTGAGGTTCCCACTTCTGGGCATTTACCCAGATGATCACAAACAAAGCCATACTAAAGCTACCAGCACAACTGTGTTTATTGCAGCATTATTCACCATAGCTAAGATAGGGAACCAACCCAGATGCCCCTCAGTAGATGAGTGGATCAAGAAAATGTGGTACTAAGACATTATGTCGAAAAACGAACTTTACACTTTGGCAGGGTGGAGGGGGGTGGGGGGGATGCGAGGGCGGGGATGGTAAGGGGAAACAAAGGAGGAGGCAACAATACTTGATAAGAAATGTACTCATTTCCTTCTCATGTAATTGTAACCCCTCTGTATGGTATTTTCACACTAAAAAAATTAATTAAAAATGAGGTACATATATACAATGGAATTCTATGCTTCCATCAGAAAGAACGACACTACCCCATTTGTTAGGAAGTGGAAAGACTTGGGAAAAAAATCATATTAAATGAAGTTACCCAGTCCTAAAGAAATTTAAGTCCCATGATTTCCCTTATTTGCAATAATTAGTATCCATATAGGATAATCTTATCAGAAGAGCTGAAAAGCTCAAAAACCATGCACAGATAACCATATTAGAGGTTAAGTGCCAGGTGCTGGTGGGTCATGCCTGTAATCCTAGCACTCAGGAAACTGAGATCAGAGGATCATGATTAAAACCAGCCTGGGCAGGAAAGTCCATGAAACTCTTACCTCCAGTTAACCACTAGAAAACCAGAAGTGGAACTGTGGCTCAAGCAGTAGAGCGCTTGCCTTGAGCTGAAAAGTTCAGGGACAGTGCCCAGGCCCAGAGTTCAAAGCCCCATGACAGACCAAAAAAAAAAAAAAAAA